CGCTTCCTAAATGAAAATTGAGGGCTTGTTCTTACAATGCTGGCACAGAGCCTAGACAGTTTTGACCGAGACTGCAACAGGAACGGTGTTTAGGACATCTGCCAAAAACTGTAATTCTCAGCAGTATTAGAGGAAAGATTACTTTTTAAAAGGCATATAGGTGACTTCTAAAACTCGTTGTTGCAGGATCCTTATAATTTTTATATTACTTAGGAGATGGAAATGACATGTGGATGACATGTGGTCAAAGTGCAGAAAATTACCTGAAACATTTTGGGAAGGGGATTACTTGTCCTTCCCCCCACCCCCCCTTTAAAAATTGCATAAAGATTAGTTGCATAAATATCAGCTATATGTCATATAAATGTTTAGATGGTTAAAACAAGAAATCTGAGCTCTTCCAGGCTGTTCTAACATGGGTCTTATCTTTCTGTTCAGCAGCAACGTGGAGACACCAGTGCTCAGTGTGACTGGTATGGAAAGGCATTTGAATTTGTACTTTGCAAAACTGAGTCTGGTTTGGGAAATTCAGAATTAGCCATGCTGGAATCCCATTCTATGTGGACCTCCACAGTTCAGGATAACTTCATTAAATGATGTCTCTGTCCCTGGTTATGAGAACCTAAGATGGATGTTTTTGAAGTGGTAGGTTATAGCTCCGTTGGCAAGTAGTACAGTCCAGTAGAAACAGATTTATGGAGCACAATAATTAAAGTGCTGAGGACCCAAAGACTTCACTCCATGTGTTTGAAGACAGGAGGAGTTCCTTTGGATTAGCTGAGGTCTAGACTGCGTGCCTGCTTGTGGTTGGGGTGCATCTGCCTTTTTAATTTCATCCAAAAGGAGTGGTTGGCACTCCAAGACATCTTCAAAATATGAAACAAAACCTGGTAAGTGGAGATGATTGGATGATTCACTTCAAAAGAGCACTCCTGATCTGAAGCAAGATGCTAATGTAGGTGTACCTGCAGGCGATTTTTGCCAGGGCTTTGTTTCTTTTACAGAAGGGGAGATTATTCGTATCTACTTAATTTGTATTGCTTGCAGCTTGGATTGGTACTGAGTAAGAAGTTCTACTTCTGCTTTATCTCTAGTGTGGGCAAAGCAGAAGTCTTTTTATTAATCTTTCCAATCCTCTTCCTAAGCTGATACCAGGCTACCTAATTCTTTGTGAAAGAAATTAATAATATATGTATTTATCAACCTTCATCTTAGTATAAGACAGAGTAATAATATTTTATGAATATAAAATTAGAGGATCTATATTTATTTTCAGCATTTCACTGTATGAAGGAGGTCCTGAATTCGTTGGTATACACCAACTGCATGTGTAGTTGCATTGCCCCCTCCTGGTAATTCATGCTCTACTGCATGGTCTTCCAGTTTGGAGATGTTGGGTACCATTATGAGATCATCAATGCATCCTAAAACCGGACAAGGAGCCAGAGTATTGACGCTGTATTTTCTGTATGTTTTTTATTGTTGTTGCGGTAGTAAATGCCAATTTTGTGAAATGCAGAAATTTGAGGCAGTACGGGCTCTGTCAAAATTCTGGTTTGGCATCTCTGAAATTTCTTTGAAGAGTTCCTGCCCTTACCTTCTGGTTAACAGTCAGCTCCTTGAAAATAAGCTTTTCATCTGACGTGCAAAAAAGTTGGTAATACCATATCCAACTAAAAAAGATCTGGATATGCATCCAGAGTTTCAGGGAATCCAGGTCTATATCTGGTATGTATTGGGCATGTACAGGAACAGTGTTTTACGTCAGACCTTTTTTGTAGTGTGTGGTAAGAATTATAATATCTAGCAATCACACTTATTAAATTCAGAAGTTGAAGTTTTAGAAACAGAACACAGTGACCAGGACTTTAGTGTGTCCTTGTGGGAGAGTTGCTACAGGCGGTCAGGAAGGTGACCTTGTGCCGACAGAAAGATGGTAGGAGGTCAGCTAGAGGGCTGCTTCTGAAGCCAGCTTGCGTCAACGACGACTTGCCACCAACCAGCTTCGCCATCGCTTTCACAAGATGTAGACTAGGACCCGAGATGCTTGTCACTGTAGGTTTCCTTTCCCTGGGCTTGTTAAAAGTAAATTCCACTTCGTCAGCAGCCAGTAGTTTGATGCTCAGGTTTCGAAGGCCATGTGCAAAGGGAGCGAAACCTTTCTCTTATGGCTAGGGCTGGGAATAAGCGGATCGTGCCGGGGTGTTTCTGCAGGTTCTTGTGGTGCTGGGTGTCTCCCTTCCCACCCGCCTGGCGAGATGCTGAAGTGGTGTCTGATGGGAAGGCGGAAACGATGCCGAGAAACACCGTTTCTCTGTGTACTTTGGCACGTAGACAATAGCACATTTGTGCTTTGGAGATTTGACTTAAAAGCACACTGGTGGCAGAGAATCCTTTTTTTTTTTCCCCCTCTTTTGCTGGGTTATAGATATCTACTATCAGTGCTGCGCTAGCAATCTGGCTGTCTTTTAACAGCTGATTTTGTTTATTTCATGATGCCATGGAAAATTTTGTAAATTTCTAACTTATTTTTCTCATATTAAGTTCAGTTATTTATAATTATTGCTGAATACTTCTCCATTGATTCAAGAAGCAATGAATTTGTTTCATCCGAAAGACCTAAGCTCTGCCCATCTTCCTTGCAGTGAGAATGATGCCATCCCAAGATCCACTTAACAATGTCAACACAATATTGTTAAACAGACAGGCTTCATATGTTTAAGAAGTGTTTTGAGTTGATAAATGTGCATATTAACCAGTCAGCAGTGTGCTGTCTCTTGCATCCTCAGGGCAACAGAATTATTGTACTTCACATCTTAGTTTTCTTAAACAAAGAGCCTGTCAGACTTGATTAGCCAAGAGGCCAAGAGGCACCTGAATATATTGCCTTAAATATAGAAACTGTTTGACATAGATGCGTATGTTCAGAAATAAAAGTGCCTGCTTAATCCTTTTACAGTGCTTAAAAAATGAAGGAGGGGAAGCAGTGAAACCTATGAAATGCACCACGTGTCATAGCTGCCTTGCAGCACTTCTGCTATTTTTGTATCTACATTCATTGAAGAGAGCTTGCTTAAGCAAGAGAGAAAAGGCTGGTAGATGCATTTAGTTAGGAGAGGAGATGCAATAGCAAGGCAGCTGTGTTTCTGAGAAGACACAGAAAATGTGGGGGAGAAAAGAGCTTATGTCTTGTGGCACAGGAAGCCGGTAGTGAACTCAGGATGATGCTATGGGCCAGGAAGGAAGACGTCATAGTTACGGAGTGGGTGTGTTTGAACAGTGGTCTTCCAGAAAGCTGCATCTTTCCCAAAACTGCAGCTAGTTACAGAATAGGAAAGCAGCCTGTTTTATTTAAGTAGTACTAATTCTTAACCATCTTTTTTTTCCACAATATTTCTTCTCCACTGTCATGTCAGTATCGATTCCAGAAGATGGAAAAGGCTGTTGAGCTTTCAGTTACTTCATAGTCATGCTCATCCTGTGAAGTAACACAGGGAGTGTAGATTGGCCTTTGCTTGTTCAATTGAGCACAACTATGAAACGCACACCAGCAACTGGATTTGTGAACACAAATAAAAGCTTAGTCTGAGCGCTCTTGCAAGACTATTTGTAGTGCCTTAAGACTGGCAAATCTGTGGCAGCTTTGCTTCAACAGAAATTGGTGATAGTATTAACCTAAATGTGAAAAGGAATAACTAATGTAGGCTTTCATTTTGTTCTTGGGGTTAAATTTGAGTGTGCTTTTTTTAGTTTAGATTTCTTCTATAATTTTTTAGCATATTATAGAAATCTATAATGGAAGTAAATGTTGTGGAGATATTCCCAGTTGATGGTTGAACAGGAGACAGCTGGGTCTTCTGACACTTCGGCAGTTGTGGGAGGCTGCCTGGGATTTCGAGGTAGGTGGAGTAACTGGATGCTTCTGTGGAAGTGCAGGAAGAGTTGGTCACGACTGTATGGGCATTTAAAATGTCTCCTCTGAAGTCATACATGGTGCTCTATAGACATAAATGAGTCAGTTCATGCTTTCTAAAGCTGTTTTCCAGGTTCTTTTCAGACTTGAGCAGACTTATCAGCACCAGTTTGTATTTGGGTCATGTGTGAAGGCTTATCTATGTAAGTGTAAAAGCTTAGCTCAGCTGTTTTTCCTCTTTTACATATAGGTGCTTTTGATGTTCTGGGAGGGGCTGAGGTGCTGTTGGTCAGCCTTCCTTCTCTCTTAGGCAAAGTTTTGGGCAGTGCATTAAATCAACCTTGGTTGTTGGGCCAACACCACCAAATTCTTAGCAGACCATGAACTGTGTTAAGAGAGGAGCTGCTTACTAAAAGCTCAGATAGTCGTCATCTGAGTTTTAGTTGATTCAGTGAGTCTGATAATTCCCTTTGGCAACATTTAGATAATGTGTTGAAGTAAAGAAAATTGTCACTCTGATTAAGATTTGAGTTCAACAGTTGTTCGAAGATTGAGATTTCAGTGTGAGCCTCTCTTGAAGAGCAGCAGGGAGCTTCCACACCTCGGTTGTCAGGAATATGGTATGTGACTTTGTGTGTGTGCATGAAGAAACCAGAGAGAGTAACCAAGGCTGCTTTTAGGGATAGTTGTGTGCTGGGTATGAGTTAGTTTCCTGGTGGAACACTTGCATAAAATGTTTTGTCACTCAGTTGCAGAGCTTGCCAGTCCTGGTAAATCCCTGTCTTCCCAGTAGTAGAAAACAACCCCACCTCTTTCTTTGATAACAACAAAAGTAAAACTTTGTGGTTTCTTTTCCCTTTTTGTAGCAACAAAGAAGAGAACGGGAAGCTCGTAGGCAACAAGAGCGTGAGCAAAGGCGGAGGGAACAGGAAGAAAAGAGACGTCTGGAAGAAATGGAGAGGAGGCGTAAGGAAGAGGAAGAGAGAAGAAGAGCAGAGGAGGAAAAGAGGAGAGTAGAAAGGGAGCAGGTGAGTCCATGATACAGATATATGTGCAATAGGTTTGTTTCTTCTAAATTCTAATTTAATTTTTTAAAAATTAGTAAGCCTAAAGCAGCTTAGAGGCAATGTAACGCTGACCCTTTCATCTTTGTTGTCTCTGACAGCAAACACACTAACATGGATCGCAGGGCTTTATGGAAAATTCTGGCAGCCTCAACATTCTCTCAAAAAAAGAAATCTTGTTGCGATACTCATTCTAAATTCAGCTCATGCCCCTGGGCTTGACTAAAATCCATCAGAATTGGCGAAATCATCACTGGGGCTGAAAATCGTTTCTAGGCTTGTCTTGCTGGATCAGTGGTTCTTGCAGGACACGGCCCTGTTCAGAAGACCTCCCAGACAAGGGCAGCTCTGTTGCGTGTCAGGTTCTGGCACCCAGAATTGGTCAGGGGCTCGTCATAAACTTTGAATATTCTGAATTTGAGATGGAACCTTTGAGCTGCAGAGGGTTTTCCTTCCTAAAACTTAAATATGCCATCTCTCTCTCTTACTCTGTCTATTTAAAATCAGCTCTAATAATGTATGCCAGTTCAGGCAGCAAGCATATCTTAAGTTGTGTCAGTATGCCCTTAATACATTGAAAGTACAGGTGAGAAACCTTTTAAACTGTGAAATTTAGCTGCTGTATTTATGCATGAAATCTGCATGTTTTAAAATCCTTTAAAAACTTTAATCAGGGTGAAAATCAGGGTAATAATTACTGTGCATGTACTGCAAAATTCTGATCCCAAATAAAGGGCCAAAGCTACTGTCCTAGAGGCTGATTGTAAATTTCCCATTAACTTCATGAATGCTGGTTTTGGTCTGATATACCTTAATTTTTTTCTTACATAAAGTCACTGTATTTGAGATCATTGATGATCGTGTTACTGGGGTATTTTATTGTGTTTGTATATATTTCAAAGATTTTTTGAGTCAAAAGGAGAGAAGACTAACCAATAGGAATAAATATATGGAAAATCTCTGATTACAGCACAGCAATTTGCTTTTGGGCAGACACCGGGTATTCCCCCAGCTGCTTTTTAAACTGTTGAAATGCTAATTACGCATAGTGCCAATAATGACAAATGGTTAATTGATGTGGCCAAGCTGAACCACTCTGAATTTTTTTTTTTTTCTTAGAAGACATGCCCCCTCTTAGAATTTTTGTTAACCTGAACTATGGCTCAGCCAATGTGCGTAACAACAGTATAGTGTATCTCATCAGTCTGTCACAAGACTTTCTATAGCTCCCATCACTGTATCACTGATCCATTAATTTCTTTATGCATACACATATGTAAATGTGTGCGTGTGCTTGTGTGTGTGCGCATGCACATGTTACATACTTCCATTAATTGCATGATAGGATGTTACCAGCTTGGGTTTGGTGCTTCAGAGTTTGAGTTTTTCTAGAGGGTCAGGCGAAGCAGCGGGTAAACCTCTCGACCTGTTGAGGCTGCAGGTGAAGAAATGGCTAGATCGCAAGGGCAAGCGAGTTTGGTCTAATATCTGTTTCCTGGTGGATGTTTGTTTGTGTCATAACCATCGCATAATTCAGCAAGGCTGGCAGTGTCTGCTCAGGAGAAGCTTCTGGTGAGGGCGGCAGGGGAGACGGCAGGGCAGGTCCCAACTGCACTTGGCAGAGCCCCTCTCGGGGAGCTTGCTCCAGGTCTGCCTACACTAAGCCTGGCTCTAGCTGTTGCTAACAGTTCATTGCACCAGTGCAACAAACTAATGTTTAATACAACTTGCATGTGACTTTGTGTTGGCTGTGTTGAGTCAGACTTGCTGTGTTTTAACTTCCCAAAACCTTCAAGTGCATTTTGCTGCTTCTTGAAACCACTTCCAAAATACGTAAACGAGCTCTGGCCTGTGCCGGCAACATTTGCAGGAGTCCAAATTTCAGAATGGAAGGGGCCAAAATCCGATGCTCAGGAGGCAGGGCTTCCTAAATGGTTCTGCAGGCACTAATCCATCCTGAAGTGCGTTTCTCGTTAAAGCTGAACTGGGGAAGTAGCGTGTGGTGTTCCACCCAGGGGGTTCTGATGCATTCCTTTTGAATAAATTTATTGCTGGGTAATTTCTATGTGACAGGAGTATATCAGGCGACAGCTAGAAGAGGAGCAGCGGCACTTGGAAATTCTACAGCAGCAGCTGCTCCAGGAGCAGGCCATGTTACTGGTAAAGCACTGTATCTGTTTTGTTCAGTAGCTATAGGATCCATTTCTCCGGCCAGTCCTAGGCTTCCCTCAGTCGGGCACAGCTGCACTGACAGTATGACAACAAAGGAGCTTGATTAAAAGGCCATTTATGCTAGCGTCGTGGGCTGACAGGCACATATGAGAAGTGCTGTATGGTCACACTGCTTTCTGGGCAGTAAGAGGAGGCTTTATGTTAAAGTGGAACAGTTCTGGTGTGGTGGTCGAGTTTCTGAACAGACCTTGGCATTCAGTGAAGAACTAGAGTGCTTATGTTGCAGATCAAAAGCACACATGATATGTAAATCCACCCCGGGATACAATGGCCTAGTGTTGGTCTAAATCATTGTTTTATGAACTTTACACTGGATTTAGTATAAATAACTTTTTTTTTTTTTCCCCCTTTAATAAAAGTCAGTTTTGACATAACTCTCCAATCATGTCAAGCTTAGCGGTACACTCTCAACTTTCCCAACACGAGACACATGTCATATTGGTCTAACGTAGCTCTTGGTTACACTTTAACAATGAAATAAACCAAAAAAAAAAAAAAAAAAAAGGCAACAACAACCAGAAAGGTACATTTTTAATGGGATGGATAGGGACACATCCACCATACAGTCAATGTCATATCTTGAATTATTCACGCGTTCTCTCAAAGGAATACAGATGGCGAGAGATGGAGGAACACCGACAGGCGGAGCGACTCCAGCGCCAGTTGCAGCAGGAGCAAGCCTATCTCCTGTCGCTGCAGCATGATCACAGGCGGCAGCAGCAACAGCAACAGCAGCAACAGCAGCAGCAGCAAGAAAGAAATAAACAAAGCTATCATACCCCTGAGCCAAAATCCCACTATGAGCCTGCTGAAAGAGCGCGTGAGGTAAGTCCTGCTTGTGGGCTCAGAATCTGCTACCTGCTCCTCTGCCCCTGCCTGTTGACCTCATCATGACTGTGATTCTGCTATAGTACAGTTGGAGGCCAAAGCGTCGCTCATAAAGGGTAGGCTATTTTAAAAAGTTGGCCGCTGGTTTCCAAACCTGAGGGATACTTCTGAGTACTTCTGCTGCAATCACTGGAGTTCAGAGTTTCGATGTATAAAGAGTGGAAAGAAATTCTGGAAGGCTGCAGACTGAGGGGACCTGATTTTGGAAGCATCATGTCAGCAAGTTAATCTCATTTGCACTTCATCAGACATATTTTCATAGGAAGCATTGGTGCAGTTGGTGATCTGTGTCTCTGGCAAGTACTGGCAATTTGAAATTGGGAGGCAACTGGAAAGCACGAACCTATGAGGGATGCTTGCACACAGCATCTGTTTACACATTTGGTGTTTTAGCCCATGCTGTTGGAAATACCCTTCTCATGAACACAAACCTGAATTTCATTAGTTTCAATTTTGAAGTGTTACGTATTCTCTTCTGAGATCACGTCCTGCTCTTATGAAACTCTGGTGCTGCCTTCTTGGACTTTGGGCACTCGCCAGTCAATCTGAAATCGTCAGAGTGCTGTTTGTTTCAGTGAGTGGTCCCCTGTCTTCACTGGTCCATGGGTAACATGGCTAAGCAAGTAATTGCCTCTTTGATGCGTACTTGGCTCTCTTTCAGCGGTCTTGTTTTTATGTTTCCCTTGAGCACCATACTGCCCACAAACCACCAGACTGGGCAATACTGGTCAAAGCCCTTAATGGCATTCATCACCAGCATGTGGGAACTAGGTAAATACATTTTGGAACAAGAACAAAAAAATCCTTGGGGCTGTTGAACATGATAAAATAACTTTCAGTTCACCTTCGTCCAGTAGCTCTTTTTTGCCTTTGAAGTATTGCTGTTTGGGCTTGGTGAGCACAAACTCATTTTCTTGTAGATGCTATTGTCCAAGTTCTTCATAAACCGTGTTTGTGCTATCTCATCCATTCCTCTGGGTGACTGAAGTATCTGGTATGTCTCTCTCTCCTGGAAGAAGTTCAGACTTGTCTGATGTGTGGTGGTGAAGGCATGGAACCAGCCCTCCTGTCCTTGTTCCTGGCCCGCCTCAGTGAAAGCACAGTGCCAGTCCAGCGCTCCTGTCCAACCTGAAGGCTAGCTTTGGAGGGATGCAGAATCGTCTCTGTTCCTTGTCTCCCATTTTCCTTTCAGAGTTGAAAAGGAGAGAAACTCCTGAAGATCCAAAATATTACATCCTTTAGCAGAACCACTGACTCAGCTGTTTTTCTGTCGTGGTCTTTTTCTTTTCTGATTGCTCTAGCTAGAAGGAGTAAAGTGAAGGCACAGAAGAATTGTGTTGGTAGTCAGATCTTCCCAGAGATTGCTGTGTACGTGTGGTAGCAGTACAGCCATGATATCTTGGTGCCTGGCACCGGGAGCAACACCAGTTCATCATAAAAGCAGGCATTAACTCTAATGTCATTCTTGACATTGGAGTTGGAGAGCGAATAGTCTGTGCCTCATACTTTCAGGTATGCTGCTCTTTGGAGAAAGTCTCCATCTCTGGAGGTGCTGACCATCAGGATGGTAAGCCAAAGTGGGCTAACTTTCCTGTTCTGGCAAAGTCTAATGGGGATTAGGAGTTTTTCCCCTATTCCAGTGGCAATAAGAATATAAGGAAAAGCACTTCTAAGATTGGCTCTGGGAAACGGGGCGGGGGAGGGGGGGTTAGAGCAAGAAATGAGGCTTAATACTGTTTTCTGATCCAGACAGTAAGATGACTGGAACAGGGCCTGTTTCTGTCCAGGGATGCACTGGCTATCTTCTTCCCACCTCTTGCCTGATTTTAAGGACATGTGGCTCATGCCGTTTGTGTGCTTTGTGGAGGAAAACTCCTATCATCTACAGCGAGAGACGTGAAAGCCTGTTCCTTCAGACAGAAAGACTTGGGGCTTTTCCTTGTTCTATTCATAACAAGGAGTCTGGCTTTTAAACTCTAAAGGATGGCTCTGTGAAGTTGAGTATGGTGGTGAAAATGATTGTATGGTGAAAATGCTTGCCTCCATTATTCTTGTATTTCCTAAGACATGGTGTATTTTGTGTAGACCTGGCAGAAGCTTGTCTGCTTGTTCCCATAGGCATTGTTACTGTCCTTAAATTTTGGAAAGCAGAGGCAGGTTGGGTTTGTAAAGCAGCCCAGCTAAGGAGTCCTGGAGACTTGCCTCTGTCTTCTGACATGGATATATGAACAGCCAGTCTCTCCAGACCATCAGTGCTAGGGACCAATTAGGAAACCACCCCAATACTGGTTTTGTGCTCCAGGCACAAGGGTTAAAGCAAATCTTGTGAGTAGAATCTCAACAAATGAAATCAGCCCAAGCTGCCCATTTGATCTTTGTTCAACGCTTTGATAAAATGCTGGGAGTTTAACGTTCCTCAGCGGCAGGTCCCCTGGCAGAAACGCACACGCTGCCCTGATTCCAGCAACAGACCGTCTTAGGAAATGGGAGGATGTTTCCTTTCTGCCTGGAGCCTCCCTCCATCTCTTGCCCTTCCTACCTCTCGCTTTGTTCACAATGCTGCAGCCTTGGAAGGGGCCATGTTTCTGCATGGGGACCTCACTTGATGTTCTTTTGAGGACTGAGCACTTTCTGACTTAGTCTTCCCCTCAACAAGTTCTTGAGGTTAGTGTACGATCACTGGTGCACCTCCCTGAGAACCAGAAACAAGCTGGTGGGGCTGTTCTCTGCAGCCTGTGAGGTCATGTTGGGACTATCTGATAAAAGAGAGGATGACCAGTCCTACAATTTCTTACCTAAAACCGAACAGCCTCCAGTATTACCGGATAGAGAAGCATATCCTATCTCTTCTTGAATTGCCAAAGAGACAAGCACAGGAAAGCAGATAATCAAATAACATTGGTTGAGTAAGGTAGGTAACTACAGTAAGGGACAGCAATGGGAAAAGTACTTTTATATTGTAAAGTTGTTTCTGTTTTCATATATCCTTTGTACTGTCTGTGAGGAAAATATTGATGGATAGTAACTAGCCTAGGCAGAAAGAAGGCCCATAATGGTCTTTCATTGTATCACTTCACATCTTACTGCCTGCTGTATCCTCTCTTCCTAGTACAGATTTTCCAAATTGGCATACTTGCCACTTTGGTGTAGTTCACTCTGTGTTTTACAGTGCTGGTGAAAGCAGTAAGGAAAAAATCCTTCCAAGCCCCAAATGTATTTGGTTTCTTTATGGTAAAGGAAAGGTGGTACTCACCTTCATATTTCTACTGTAAGTTGGTTTTATTGACTCCAGGCTTAACCTCCATTTATTTTGTCTTAGGTGGAGGAGAGATTTAGAAAAACTAATCAGGGTTCCCCTGAAGCACAGTCTAAGCAGATGGGCAAAGTGTTGGAGCCACCAGTGCCTTCAAGATCAGAGTCCTTTTCCAATGGAAACTCAGAACCTGCTCAGCCTGCCCTGCAGAGGCCGATGGAGCCCCAGGTAAGTGCCCAGGAAAATCTTTGTGAGCCTGGAGGAAATTCAGAAGTCCCAACATGTTTCCTTCAAATTTGCAGATCTTGGCACTTAGAAAGTCTTATGTAAAGGGTAGCACTGTTATACAAAGCAGCTTATTCAGTAGATTTGCTCTTCATCTATTTTTGCTTATTTTATTGATAAACTGATATGTGGTTTTGGTGGTGTTTGTTTTGGTTTGGTTTTTTTTTTTTTTAATATTAGAGCTAGAGGAGAACTGTTGCATTCCTTTATTATCTGTGCAAGAGTGGAATGGTGAGCTAAACACTGGTGACAGTTGCAGTACACTTTTATAATTCTCAATTTGATCTGTGCAAGATATTTACTACCAAAAAGGATGCTCAGGAAAGAAGTGAGCTTGTTTGGTTTTTTTAATTCTTGCAGAAAAAGCTAACTAAACAAGTGGCTTTTAATAGTAAGAGCACTGCTTCAAAGAGGTTTACAAAACATGACTAAGAAAAGCAAGTTTGTTGTCAGTAGGCTTACAGTTGCTAAGTAGAGCTCTGTACCACCCCTGGAAAATCAAAAAGAGGTTGAAACCATTGAGCTGCGTGGCTGCCATCATTCTGTTGTTTTCTAATGAAGAGCCTCTGAATCTTGGTATCCGTATCTCATAGGAATTACAGCATGAATTAAAAAAGTAACCTTTGTCTAAAACTTAGACATAGCCCATAAATTCTGAGTGATTTAGATATGCTAAATTAAACAGTGTAGTTCTGTATACAGTTCCTCTGTTTCCATGCAGAATTTTCTTCTCCCAAATTAAGTCTGTTGATGACAGTGCAAGCTAAAACCGTCCCTGATTGTGAGTAGGTATTGCAACTCTTTTGGGCAACAGGAGAATTTGAACAGACGGGAGAGTGGGAGAAATCAGGCCAGAACTTAATCTCTTACTCATTAATTCCTGGCTTTTATTCAAACCTCTATGACTATTTCAAAATATTGGACTTGTATCTTCATGCTTTCTGTGCCAGTTAGTTTTAAAGTCTGGGTCTTCCACTCATATTAAGGATAATTGGGCTCTTCAACAGCTGTGTGTATTAAAATTGAGGAAATAATAATAATCTAAAAACAAATACAACCAGCCTACTGAAACTGGAGTTGAAAGCAAAATTTTGCTTAATTATTAGGTGTGAAAATGGTGTGTTCCTCAGTTATGACCTTTCCTCCTCCTTAATTTCAGAAATTAACTCTGAACCGCAGGTTTGTGCACAAGGAGGGAGTAGGCTGAAGGGTCAATATGGATTTAAATGGAAATCCCAATGGAGCTCTAACTCTGGAGTCACTGTTGTGCCTTCTTAGAATGTGTAATTGAATATGCGTGTGTGTACATGTGTGCTTAGTTTGTGTATAAATATGTATATATGTACAGTATATGGTACATATATGATGTAAGTATAATATGCATTGTACATATGTATACTATATACAATATATATTATGGAGTTTTTATATATATTGCAATGAATGTAAAGGAATAAAGACTTTTGTGTTATGGTCTTTCTCCAAAAGTTTGGAACTGTATCTAGTTCCTAAATTTGTTAGGTAACGTAAATGTGTGTCGGTTTGCACATTTTACAGCATTCTTTAATTTTGTACATTTCTTCAATTGGATATCTGCTTCAAATTTCCCAACCCACCAGTGCTTCCATGAGACCTGACCAAAGCCCACTGAAGACTGGGGAATGGCAGGCGACTTCTGTCTTGAGTGGCCTTTGGACTCAGGCTCATGGTGCAGATATTAAGTCCCCTTTTCTTCTCAGCACCAGTGTATGTGTATGTGGAGAGCGTATCTCACAAAAAATGCATATGTGCTATATTTTCAGTCTGTTATGTTCTTTGGGCGCTTGCCTTGCTTTTAAGTGCATTGATTCCACCCCACGCTTACCTAATGCCATAACCAATTTGTCTCTGCCTGCCCCACCTGCCTTTATTCTGTGTTAATTGGAAAGCCAGTTATACTGAGCGCATTGAATGTTTTATGTTTTGTTTTCTTGTAAGGTACAGTGGTCCCATCTGGCATCTCTCAAGAACAATGTTTCCCCTGTCTCGCGATCCCATTCCTTCAGTGACCCTTCTCCCAAATTTGCTCATCACCATCTTCGTTCCCAGGACCCATATCCACCTTCACGCAGTGAAGTGCTAAATCAGAGTTCTGACTCTAAGTCGGAGGTACCCGACCCCACCCAAAAGGCTTGGGCTAGATCAGACAGTGACGAGGTGCCTCCAAGGGTAAGGAGTAGAAAGACAGATGTGTGCTATTTTTTTTTTTATTATTAATTATTATTTTTTTAAGGATGTGATACCCTGGGCACTGGGAAGACCGTGCCTTTGTGCCAGCATTGGTAACAGTATTTTAGACGGCAGATTGTAATAGAGGTGTTCAGTCAATGGGTTAATGATAATCAACCTCAAGTACAATATTGAAGCTTCATATAAAATTGGCAATTATTTATAGAATGCAGCTATTTCAGAGAGATAATTTATTATGCAAAGTTAAAAAATCATTACCATATTCAGGAAAGAATTTAAAATATCCCTGAGGTTATTGCTCAGAGTTAATTTTCCTCTTCATCTGTTAGCAACCCAAACTATGAATCATACACGTATTTAAAACTGAGATGGAACTGAACAAAAAGGAAACATTCAATATACTTCCTCCCCCTCTCCCTCTCCTACCACCCCCCCCCCCCCCCCCCCCGGGGTTTTCTTTTTTCTGGTTTTTTTTTCCTCCCCCCCCCCCTTTTCCCCCTCTCCTGTTCCCTGGGATTTGCTTCTTCTGAGTATATTCTTGCTCCCCCACCAGTCTTTGCCTTCTGCTGATCCATTCCTGGGCATTTGTTTGGTTCCCCTGAGCTTATTCTCCTAATTCTCATGCTGTTTCAGCAAATTGCTTTGTGCCTCCCCTGCTTCAGTGAAAATGCCATATTCTTTTTAAATGTCTCAGTAGTTGGAGTGTAGCGGGGTGCGTATGTGTTCGTGTGGTAACTATTAAACACTAGTTAATGTTAAGACTAAACTTTGAGTTCTCTTCAAAAGCAGAACAGCATCCCAACTAAGGCTCTTGGTTTTGTGGGTGTTTGTTTATTGCTTTTGGTCACTGATGCTAGCTTGGACTTAGAATTAAGTGTTGTTAAAATCTTAAGAATATATTCTGTAGCAGGAGAGGTTTAATCTTCCTCTTCTCTCTCTCCTCTTCATGGATTTAACATAACCTTTTTTCTCCCAAGGTACCTGTGAGAACAACGTCCCGATCACCAGTCCTGTCCCGCCGTGATTCTCCACTGCAGGGTAGCGGCCAGCAAAATAACCAAGCAGGTCAAAGAAACTCAACGAGGTTTGTAAGCCTACATGTCCTCGCCTTTCTTGCATTGGAAGGAAAAGCCTCATGGGAAGTCAGGCGTTTCCAGAGAACTTTTGGCATTATCTGTTGGATGTGAAAGGAGAATGAATTTGGATACATTTTCAGTAGTGATTAATATTAATTTCCCGTGGCGTAGCATGTGTGCCAACAAACACTGGCAAAATTTCTTCTTCCCTCTCCTCCTTTGAGTTGCCTGCCCTGTAACTTTTGCAATAATTTCAAAATATCCTTAAGATTACTGAAAAAAATGTGGCCATTCATGAACATCTTGCCTTTTGGTGCAACAGGTCATCTTGGGCGTGCTATGGGGATTACTGGCAGCAGAAGTGTTTGTTACATCTAAAGTGAAGAGATCTCAGAAACTTTCTGGCCTCTCAGCCAGGAACAGACTTTAAGAGGGGGAGAAGCATCCATGAGCTGTGACACAGAGCATCTGGGGTCAGGAAGGGGGAGAGGAAGGGGCTGCCTCCAGAGCTCAGCAAAGCACTGTGGACAAGCCACCCTGGAATTAGCTCACTGGACAGGGATGAGGGTATTCTGAGAGGGACAGGCAGTGCTGGCTTTTTGGCTTGTGCTTGGGTGGCCAGGGCACTTCTGAGCCAATTTCAAACCTTCTGCATGCAGGCTGAGAGAACTGTCCACTTTAGATTAGATATGTAAGAATGGCAGGTAGCCAGTTCCAAATAAAAAGAATAGCTTACACCCACATTTTTTTTTTTTAACCATTCTAAATAAGGTATTAGGCATTTCAAAGGGAGCCAGTGCTTGGGTTGTGAAGCATCACTGATGCCCTTAGCTCAATGTTGAGTGCTCTTTCAGATGAGTTATTAGCAGAACACTGAGGAAGAGTGATGTTTGAGTTTAGAAATGGGAATCTGAAACTGAAGTGTGTGACAAAGACTGTCCTCCCTCCCCTGATACAGCAATATAGAGCCTCGTCTGCTGTGGGAAAGGGTGGAGAAGCTCGTACCAAGACCGGGCAGTGGCAGTTCTTCAGGTTCAAGCAACTCCGGCTCACAGCCTGGCTCCCACCCTGGCTCTCAGAGCGGGTCTGGAGAGCGGTTCCGGATGAGATGTAAGTCCTTCCCCCACCCTTTGTAACGCTGTGTTTATAAATTTATTGAGTCGTGCAACAGTCAATAATGAACGATGATAACCCTCATTGGGAAAGACCTTTGAGCATGCACTATCAAAGATGGGTTAGCTTCCAGTAACCCCCTTGTCTGTATGTCCTTGCTTGGGAAAGACAGTGGGTGCAGAAGTTGTTGTGAAAGTGTTTCAGCCTTCTCTGATTCACATTCAGTCACGGCTGCATTTTCCCATGTGCAAACAGGCCAGTCTCCATGCTCTTGTAGCTCCCTTCCTCCTATGTGCAAGGGCACCTTTTGATGCTTGTTGCCTATCACCTCGGTGGTTGCTGAAGCGGTGCAGGCTGCTATGGATAGGTCTCAGCTGGGGTACGTTGGATGCTGGTACAGGTTTTCCAGCTTGTGGCCACACTTGAGTTACCCTCTTTGATTTACAGCTGTGCGACAGTTTACTTTGGCTTCAGTTATAGGTCAGCTGCACCTATACAGATCACAGCTTATGATGGTTTTTGTATAGTTCTTCAGGGACAATGTAATAGTGAACCAGTGAAACTTATGTCTTGCTGTCGGGGACCACCTGATAGCCTTTTCACCTCCCTTCCCCACTTCAAAGTGAAGTAAGAAAACATATTTTATCTCTCTGCTTAATCTGTTTTGTTCTGTGTTCCTTTTGGGATCTTGACACATGCAGCATCATCCAAATCAGAGGGTTCGCCATCTCAGCGTCATGAAAGCGCACCTAAAAAGCCTGAAGAGAAAAAGGAGGTCTTCAGACCTATCAAGCCTGCTGTAAGTTGCATCCACTTTCCCCTGTCCCCCATCTCTTTCAGGTAGGCCCACAAAAAGTACAGGGTGAGCTTCCATTCGTGATGCCATTGGGGGTGAACTTCAGCTTGAGTTAGAGTTAGTATCTGTGGGCCCAGCAGCATGTCCTGGGTTCTGCAATTGCCTGCACACATCACAGTACTTTAAACATTAGAATTTGCTCTGCTTCTGGAATTGATTTCTACTCTCTCATCTTCTTCCTTCCTAACCTTTGCCTTTCTCTCTTTCAATCCTGTGCTTCCTTCCTGGGGCTGGACCAATGATCATGCATTTGACCTGAATGTGCCAATGCTGGGCTGAATGGTGCAGGGAGAAGTGGTAAGACCTTAAATGGTTGCTATTTTCTGTGAAAGATTTCTGACGTTTTCTTTATCTGCCTGCGGTTACAGTTGATTACAGCTCTGTGTCCAGTTGTATCTGGGGGGGGTCACAGTGGGTTTTCACGGTATTTCCAACTTTCTTGAAAACTTTTTCTCCTGCCGTTATGATACTGCACTAGCACCCAGATCTGTCAGTTAAAGCTGCTTTCTTAAAGAAACATAGGGGTTGTTCCTTCACTTCTGATAGTATAATGTGTGAAGTATTTGCCATAAACTGTATTCAGCTAAATAAAGCACAGCTACACAATTGAGAGCAGATTGCACTGACTGCAAACCTGGTTTACCCACACTCCGAGCTGCAGACAGAAAAGCAGCTTATGTCCCATAGTCTTTGACAGTCGCATGCGACTGAGCTGGTGCTAATGAATCTGACTTCTCAGGTGAACTCCTTAGTGTGGATCCATGCAACTGGAAATAGATCAAAAGGTTTCAAGGAGATCAGCTCTCTGCGACTGTGCCTTGGGTGGCTCAATAAGTCTTAGGATCTTTCTGCTACCTTGCTGCCTAGATTTCTTGTGGTAGATGCTATTAATCTGCAAAGTTTCGGAAAATGAACTGCGACAGTCAACCACTGTGTGAGAGTGGCTCCGGGTGCTTACGTATGTCCTTCAGGTGATATAATGGGATAAACTGAAATCATAATCAGGATAGTTTGGATTCAGAGTATACACATTTTTCTATAATATGGCAAGACCTCCTTAGGTGGAGTCTTTTGGTCTTTAATTTATCAGAAAGTGAGTTTTGGTAACTATCAGGAATGAATAAATCAAAGGAAACAATACTGCTGGGGCTATGGAAACACAGCAGTGGACAAGTGAGCAAACTCAGGCACTAATCCAGTGGGGTAGTCTTGCAAACAATTCTCCTCTCTTTCTTGCAACACCATTTTTTTCGTCCCTCTCCTATCAGGATTTAACTGCATTGGCAAAGGAATTGCGAGCGGTAGAGGATGTGCGACCTCCACATAAAGTGACGGATTATTCATCCTCAAGTGAGGAGTCAGGGACGACAGATGAAGAAGATGATGATATGGAACAAGAAGGAGCAGATGAATCTACTTCTGGACCAGATGATGTCCGAGCAGTGTTAGTTCTTCTGTGTTTTGCTTCTGTTTTCCTTCTTAGGGGGCTGATGGAAAAGGATGTTGGGTATTTTGGCTTGTGTGTTAGTTCTTTCATACATTTCAAGACATAGCAGCCATGTATGTTCATGTTTTCAAACACTGAGGGTAATCGTTTCAGAAAGTAGACTTAATAAATTATGTCCTTTCCCTCTTCTCCCTTTGATTTGTTATAAAACAAGAAGCGGTGTTTAACAAACTCCTGACTTTTTTTTTTTTTTTAAATAGAGAAGCCTTTCTAGGCAGGTTATGTAAATATTCCACTCTGGTCACAATATAAATTAACTTTGAGCGTGCATTGGTGTGGGGCAGCAAAAGCTAGGGCACAAATGCTGTTATTTCACTCCAGTTATTTCTTGTCCGGCAAATAGGTCAACATTGAACTTGAGCAATGGTGAAACAGAGTCAGTGAAAACCATGATTGTCCATGACGATGTGGAGAGTGAACCTGCCTTGACTCCTTCTAAGGAGGGCACCTTAATTGTCCGACAGGTATTGCTTTTCCTTCCCTGTGCAGTGCTGCACCTTTTCTGTGCTCATTAACCCACTCGCTCATTCACCCATGCTGTTTCTACATTATATTTGTTGTTCGTATTATCAAGACACAGCTGTAGTGGATTTCAGATGAGCAAGATGTTTGATGCATGCAAAGAGGAGAGTAGCCCTTCACCCCTTGCCACTGTTTTGCATGCTTTCCAGTGACACCCATGGCAGCACCATGCAGTGTACCTCAAAGTCTGCGGGAGAGAAGGGTAGAAAAGCTGCAGGTGTGTGGAGCAAGTACCTGGAGCAAGAACTTCATTTAGTTTTACCATAGAACCAAACGTGTCTCTCAGGAGTGGGGCTGGGAGGGAGGCTGGGGGGGAGCATTCAGGGTTTTTTTAAAATTGTTTTGAACCTGTAGTTGAGGGTGTACAGACCACCCAGATAACACACACACACACACACACACACACACACACACACACGCACATACAAATTCATGCAACAGTTAGCCTGGGGGAACGGAGAAGCAAAATAGGTGGCGAGGCAGAGAATGTGGACAGAGCTAGAGCACTGTGTTGTTGCCTTTGATTCTGAAAATACTGCATTCTTGTGCCTCTGAAAGATAACGATTCCCTACTTTTAAATGAGCTTGTGTGTTAATGAGCGTGCTAGCTTATAGGAGGTTCCTCGGTAATCGCATTTCTGAATTTCACAACTGAATGCCAATTTCTTAATTGAGCCCTCTGGTTTGAAAATCAAGATTTCATGCTTATTGTTTTAAATAGTTAGCTGAAGGCATTCACCAGACGGTCCAAGCTTGTATCTGTAGAGGATTGAAGTTAGCTTCAAACAAAACAATAGGGGAAGAAATCCTCCCGCCACCCCCAAAAATGTGCTTGTCCATGTTGTGGTGGAAGACTTACCGGTGCAGTTACTCTTCTGTTAATTAGTGGAACTGGCTGTGCAAGTCAACCACATGAACTAAGCTTTTGCTTGCCAGAAGAGGTGGGAATTTGCTGAATTCTAGTAGCTCTGCCCACTTTCCATCCAGGCATCAAGGCATGGATTATCAGCTTATTTTTTTTTAAATAAATAAATAAATAAATAAATAAAATGTAAAAAGGTAGGAAGCGAGTGAGGGAGAGGAGAGAGGTTGTTAGGGATATAGACCTTTAAGCAGCACTTGAGCAAGACAAGTGTGCCTGTTTTTTCTACAGAGTACAGTTGACAAAAAGCGTGCCAGCCATCATGAGAGCAATGGCTTTGCCGGTCGCATTCACCTCTTGCCAGATCTCTTACAGCAAAGCCATTCCTCCTCCACTTCCTCCACCTCCTCCTCCCCATCCTCCAGCCAGCCGACACCCACCATGTCCCCACAGACACCCCAGGACAAGCTAACTACTAATGAGGTATGTCTTACACCACAGCTGGCTGCTTTCGTAGGGTTATAGCAGCATTGCCTAGTAGCTAGTTTGCAAAGGAACTCCAGCCAATCTCCCCTGCTTTTTTTTTTTCTGTCACCCTTGTTCCCACCCCCCAAATAACACATTTCAGTTCTGTGTAAGAAGCCCTTAACTCTAGAGCAGTCCCACGCCAAACTTGCCAGTTTACTATTTTTGCTTCCTCTTAGTGAGTCATTAATTGCATGGCGTTCGTTTTAAACTAAACTTGACTACTGCATTTTCAAGCCAATACTCTTTTATTTTTTAATTCTGTTTTATTCCGGGAGCAAGCTAATTGCAAGCAGTGCGCCTCTTAAAAATTAGCGGTTAATTTTGGCTTTGTCAGTAAAGGCTGGGCTAGTAACTCCGCACGTATGAGGAGCTGCTTGGGGAAACTCACCCTTTGGGAGAGGAAGCGGCAGCGGCCGTGGAGGGATTTTGCTCTTAAAAGCTTACCACCACATGGGCTGGGTGAATAAATCAGGTGTTGCCCGGGAGGGTTGTAAAAGCCTGGGGTATTGTTGTTTTGGAATAATGAATGGGGGAAAATCTTTGGGTTTTTTCCAAGTACGTGTGTACTCTGAAAAGCAGCTGTGTAAAGATGACTGTTCTCCACCAGTGCTGGTTGTGCCCAGGTGGAGAAGCAAGGCTTCACCGTGAGGGAAGCTCCCTCTTGCTGTCCTGGGCTGATCCCGGGATGGTGCCTTTCCTTACTCACCAAGCACTGGTGGACAAGCCCAGTCCTTCACATGTGCGTAACCCCTTGCCTCAGAGGAAACACACGCATGTGAACGAAGGGCATCATTCGCCCCTTACCAACCCTAGCAGTAAGTGAGGAACCCGGTGTGGCGGCTCCACTCCCGGCTGGGTGGCCAGCCTGGCTCTCGGGGAGAGCCTCTTTCTGTATGCAAGCGGGAGTGGTACAGGGGGAGCAAAACTCAGTGAAAAGAAGCTGCTGCTTCTCAGGGTAGAGCCATCCTGCCATGTGGGCATGCAAGTGGTGTGACGAGAAGGAGAGGTTGCGGTGAGCTGGGTAGGCTGATGGCAATATACGTGTATACCACAGGATCAAAAATGCTTCTGAACCACGCAGCAGGAGGGTGGGTGGGAGGGTTTCCTTCTGGAAATTCGGTTAGCATAATACTTAATTTTCAGCTATGCTTCATTGGTCTTTGATCTTTCTAAAAGCACACTCTTGTAGGCTATAGAGATCAGTTGATTGATCCAGAGATATGCTTGCTCGTTACTTTGATCTAAGCAATAAATAAGCAGGGTTCAGTTAACTCAGCTCGGGAGGTGGAGGCTGTGGCAGTGGCTGGTGGCGAAGGAGCCTTTCGGTATTGAGCTGTGCAGGAGAGTGATACACTCCTCAGACCCATTGGTATTTTTTCTGCAGAGAGTAGAGGCTTAGAAAGATCAGAGGTTGAAGATTAGTTGATAATAAAGAAGCGTCTCTAACTATGTTTGCATACAGCTGAGCAAAAACCCAGTACTGCTTGGTATAACTTACCCACATGCACCCCCTTTATATATATACTTTTGTTTTTTTTCACTTGTTCCATTCTGCTTCAGAATGCAATGTTGTCACTATAATACTAAACTGGCAAGGGTTTTTAAGTCGTTCCATTTCCACTTTTAACAGTTCATTGTTTCACTTGTCTTCTTCCTTTCTTTATGTTTTTTCATGTTTAGACCATGTAACTCAGCAAGCACTAGTGATTTTATCCACCACATATTCATAGCTTCATATCACCGTTTGCTACACCTTCCACACTAATGAGCCCCTTTGTTCGATACAGGTTTAATATGTTGCTTTGTCAAATAAAGGTGGAAGAACCTGCTGCAGCTTTCTGGCAAGAGGCTCAGGTTAAACAAAATAGGGAGAACGAACAGTAGTGGACATTGAAACATAATCCATCGTAGAAATGAACGCTTGATCCCAGATGGTTCTGATTTCGTTGCACAAACCAAGAGATCAAACTTTATAATTCATTAAACTAGCTCACTTTAGGAGATGCTTCATAAACTCAAAAGTTGTAGGCAGTGGACAGCTTGCAGATAAGATAGTATACATCCATTTAAGCAGATTTTTTAAAAAAAGAGACATTCCCTCGCTTTATGCCTGATTGTAGTGGCCAGTCCTAAAAATCTTCGCTAGCAGCTGAGGTGACAGGGATGACAATTTAGCTAATTACATTTTGCTGTAGTGTGTGCAGTGTGCATATGTATGTAGCTCAGGTGTGGTGCCTGCAGTGTGTTGTGTATCTATAAAGCAAGTATAAAAGCTTGGGGAGGCTCTGTAGCATAATTCTGTAGTGACTTGAAAATGTTGGTTGTTGTTATCCATGCTTTTTATTGTCATTAATATTAATAAAGTTGAAATTTACATTGCAGACTCAGTCCGCTAGTAACACACTCCAGAAACACAAATCTTCCTCCTCCTTTACACCTTTTATAGACCCCAGATTACTACAGATTTCTCCATCTAGCGGGACAACTGTGACTTCTGTGGGTAAGTAAAGTAGCTGAAGACAACAATTGAAAAAGGGTTCAGTGACTTCAGTGGCTCTTTAAAGTACTTACGAATGTTACCATCATGCTTTTTATTTGATTTGCAATGGATTGCATAGTTTATTTCTTTTTCCATTTACATTTCTTACAAAAAGAAAGACTTGCTCAATATTCTCAGTTACTGATTTGGGTTGTTTGGCGTAAAGAAAATACGGCCAGAATTTAGCACTTAAGGGTTATTACATGCACTTTACTTTTCTTTTTTCCAGTAGGATTTTCTAGTGAAGCAATGAGATCAGAGGCAATAAGGCAAGACCCTACACGGAAAGGATCAGTTGTCAATGTGAATCCCACGAATACACGGCCACAGAGTGATACCCCAGAGATTCGCAAATACAAGAAGAGATTCAATTCTGAGATACTGTGTGCTGCCTTATGGGGTAATGCAAACCTGTTCCTCCCTTGCCTCCTGCACTTCTGAAGTGCAGACGTGCCAGTATGAGCTTACGGTCTTTGAGAACGTACCTCTGAAACCTTAGCTGTTTCTCTGCATTTATTCAATGCTTGTTTACGTCCTTTTGTTGCAAGACCTGATTATTATTATCCTGCTTCTGCTTTGATATAGTTTCCCACTGCTGTGTATATGCTTCTGATGACACAGTTCAGACTTTGTTCAGCTGATGGCATGTCTTTTTCTCTCTAGCCCCTGTTAGTACATCTCTTGCAACATTTGGAAACTTGTGGTCATCTTTGCATTGTACACCTGGTGCACACAGGATATTCCATTTGAAAAATAATCATCTTCTTGAGCCTCTTGCTAACGTATTGTTGGGGAGCTTGATTAAGATGTGTTTCGTAAGACAAATTTCCACCTCAGTCATCAGTTTATGTAGGAAGGAAGAGGGAAAAGAGAAGGGTAGGAGGGACATTTTCCAGTGTGAGACTGTGGCTTGGTTTCGTTAAGAGTGGTTAGTGCAGAGGGAAGCAGGGTATGGGATGTCAGCTGACCAAGTGTGTCTGGCCGTCTTGTCACAAGGGATAAGTTATGTTGGTGTCAGGCAATTAGTCAGGATCCCACACTGGTGAAAGAATTAGAGCAGTGCTTGTTGCCTGCTACAATGTGGAATCACTGCTGCAATACCCAGCGAAAGCTTTTCTCTGCTGTGTCGTTTCTTTTTTGGCCAGAATCTATGGGGCAACCTGAATTTTTTCATTATCTAGATGTTAGTAGATGATGCTTGTATATATTACGTACATATTTATCTAGTATCCCTAAACTTAACAGAGTGTAAATGCACATGCATGTCATTTTAAAAGCTATGAGGAAGAGAGTTGGCCATTCCCCTGAGTCACACGATAATTATATAGGTAACACAGTGCACTTTTCTTGTTTACATTTTCACAGCTCTTTCCAAGGCTTTAGTTCTCTTTTGGGGTTATTTCCAGCATTTCTTGTTTCTCAGAACAGCACTGTTGTCCTATCCTTCTTGCCTGCAAAGTCATGTCAATTAACTAGCTCTCCCAACACCTTATCTTCCTATCTGCTGTTTTCTTTATTTCCAGAATTTACTGGTAACAGTGTTTACCCCAATGCTATTTCTGCATGTATTCATATGAATAATTCTCTGATAAAATGAAGACTTTTGCAAATGTAAACTTTCGGGCTGTGATAGGGTGAAGGCAGAGAGAAATCTTATAGGATCGGTAAAGATGACTCATAATTTCTCTGATCTGCCTTGTTTTGCCAGTAGCAATTTGTGTTAATGGTTTTATATTTCTTTGATCTATGTATCTGACTGTTATGGTGATTTGAAGTATAGGTGTAAAATCCTAGAGGTGTTTTACAGCTGTAACAAAGCACTTCCTTGCTGAACATTTAGGGCCAAACTGATGGTGATGCAAGCTGGTACAGATGCTTATTTCCTGATAAGGTTTAGCTTCCTTTACCCTTAAGCAAATTAAGCTATTTCATGGTGATGTTTCTTATTCAAAAAGAGAGCGGCTTGCTTTGCTTTGCTTTCCTTTGCTTTTTTACCAGTAGTAATGCTGTAGTATCTGGCAGGTTGCTGATTGCATTAGGTCTGTGATGCTGTTTCTTCTAGTTCCGAGTGGTGAAAGTCAATCTTAATGACATGGATGCAGTAGCATAGATTTTTACACCCAGCCTCCACAGGGAGCCTGTACTTTTTCAGGATGCATTTCCATTTGTTTGAAAAAAACAGAACTGCTTAATTGTAGGGTGGCAGTAGAAAAGTTCTGCTGGCTGTGAATAACGACAGTGCCTGCATTTTAAAGTACAGGCACCGCTTGCCACCAGCGTAGTACCTCATTAGTTTCATGTCGAAATGCATATAGCTAAGGGAGGAGGTTGGGGACGGGCGCGCATGTGAACTCGAAGCAGAAACAACTGCACCGCAAAGGCAGCAGAGGAAGAGAGGAGGGTGGAGGCGGGAGCCATCGGGCCCTGATGCACAGAGGGGAAGGGACCCTGAGGGAGCAGTTCGCATGTGGCTTGCTTTGAATTGTAATCCACGCTGGAAAAAATACAAAAATATCTGTCGAAGCTGAATCACTTACAGCTTTAGTCAATGGGTCCTGGAGCTGCAGGAAGGAGGCTGACTGCTGGGCGCTTCCTTGGCTGGTATGGTGCTGCTGCAGCCTGTGCCGAGCCCTGACTCGGTGCGTGCCTCGCTCTCCCTGCTTCCTTCTGCTGCTTCCCAGTTTGAGGATGTCTCCCAGTATAGGAGATGTTGATGTGAAATGCCCCTGGGGCCTGTGGGACGGGAGCCAGCAGGTGCGGACCCACGTGGGGGATGCAGAGGCGGAGGAGGGCAGGAAGGGGACGGAGGAGGCCTCAGCAGCTGAAGGAGAGTCCAGGAGGGCTGCGGGTCGCCTCCCAAGATGGGCTCTGCGCCTGCCAGCGTCCCTGGGCTCTCCTGCCTGGAGGAGGCAGAGGAGTAGCAGAGCAGCAAATCTGAGCAAAGAGAGGAGATGGTTTGTGGGGACTGCTGGGACCTCTGAAGTTTCCTTATTGAAAAGGCAAGAGAGAGGAAAATGGAGATGCTTGATGGTTTCTGACCTCTCCATGGGCTACAGCTGTTTTTCTCATCCAGCCAGAGGGTTTTCAGATTGCCCCACCACCAGCAGCTTAGGCCCCTTCCACATCATTACCGCCTCCTGGCTGCAGCTCTGCTCCCCTCCCCTCTAACACCCTGTCCCCTTTGGGAGACACCTCGTGCCAGGGTGAACATGCTTTCCTTTTTGCAAACTGCTCCCATGTCTGGTAGCCAGGGTGTTGTTTAGGTAGCTTTCCTCGTCCTTGTGAGCAATACCTTTTTTCAATACTGTGAGAAGGCATGTTACTGCTATAGATGCAGACCGCACCAAGATACAGACTCCTGTGTATTGGGCCCACATGCTGCATTAGAAGAGGTTTGTTACGGGATCATCCTGGATGATACATCCATTGGCACCAGTATAATTATATCTGGGGATTAATTGTCTGACTAGGGATTAAGGCCGTTAAGCAATATAACTATGATCACCTTGTGTGAGTTTCGCTTTTCTTATTTCATGACTTTATTATGCTTAAGGATGAGAAGTTTTACATTGGGATTGCAACATAGAAGTCTAATAAAGCGAGTCATGCATTTGGTTTGTTTTCCATTCCCTGTACTATATCTGACCTGCCTCTGCACAATTTGTGGGGTCCTAGACTGAAACACTATTGCAAATAAATAGCTATGAAATTTTAAGAGTGATAATAGATTTTTTTAAACCTAGTCTTACATATATATATTTATTACTAAAAAAAATGTAATTGATTTTAAATACTAAGGTTTTGTGGACTCTTGGTAAGTGTTCCAGTGGATGTATGGAGCTTTGTAGAAAGAAACTGGCCTGCTGACTTGTTCTCATCTGTATTTGCTTGATCTTCAGGAGAAATCTGTGGAAACACGAGATTACTGTAGTTCCTCTAGTTTTAACATTCAGATGAAAAAGATTGTTGGGAAGCTGAGGACCGACCCTGTGCCTATCCTTTTACAGGAGGGCTGCATCACAGTCTGTTTCTCCCAGTGGGTACCACGCCCCTACCACTGCTTTTTTGCAATGTCCTTGTCAAGAGCATCCTGTTACCAGTGCCCCTACCAACAGCTAATACATCTTTGGAATACATAAGCTTGGGTACCACTTTGTGGCTCACTCCTCCTCCAACATTAGCGTGCCTTTTTGTTTGGGAACTGGTGTTCTAGAAAGCTCTCCATGGTCTACCAGTCTCTCACTCTCTTGAACACTGCGATTTGGTGTCAGTAGTCACTGTGGGCAGGTGATGTAGGCAGCCTCTACATCATGAGATCTTTTAGGCTGCAGGCAAGTGGGACCCAACCAGCTTTGGTTAGACCTGCTTGGAACAAGAGAGTTGCTGTATCAAGCATCAGTTCATCAGAATATGTGGAAAATCTGCCTACTAACTTGGATCTCTGTTTTTGTTTCTTCTAGGAGTGAACTTGTTAGTGGGCACTGAAAGTGGTCTGATGCTGCTAGACAGAAGTGGTCAGGGGAAGGTTTATCCGCTCATTAATCGAAGACGATTCCAGCAGATGGATGTACTTGAAGGGCTGAATGTCTTGGTGACAATTTCTGGTAAAGTTAACTTTTCAACATGATTTTTTCCTCCTTCTGGCACAGCATGGCAGAATGCTTTTCTTGGCAGCCTGTGTGTTGAGGGGGAAGTCCTGACTTGACTGAAGTCAGTGGATTTTCCATCGTTTCACCTCTCAGTCTACAGTTTGTTTCTGCAAGTGAATCACTTTCCACACAACACCCTGTGCCTGCTTGCCCCCTGTCCTTCCTCCCGCGGGGTGACCTTTAAAAGTGCTGCATGAGTTTGGGGGAAACGTCTGGCTTTGTTTGTTTGTTCAGTGTTTGGGAGCTTTAAGTTAATGTTTTGTGAAGTTTGTAAAAATGGCATTCTTTCCCTCTGTCGTGATTACTTTCAACCTGGCCTCTTGCTAACCAAAACATGGTTTGCTACTTGGGTTTAAAGATATCTTGTGTGTTAAAATCTGTAGAAATGCTCTTGTGAAGTAGGGAAATAAGAGTGATGTGCAGCGAGTGTGTGCGTGTGTGTGTGTGAGAGAGAGAGGGGAGTACAATGTGTACGTGATATGGAAATTACCAGTATGGGAAGGCAGATCGGTGCAGCTTTTGGTCTTGTCTCTCACTGGATGCAACTGCAGACGGCAAAGCAACGGGAGATGAAGGGTGGTGGTGATTGTTGTGTTTGTTTTGTGTGCGCCGATGAAAAATGTGTTTTATGAAGCATGAGGTTCCAGACTCTTTGGCTCCAGAGAGGTATTGCATAAGGTTATCCTGCTATTAAGCAACTTGATGTGGTTCACTGTTAATCTTTATTCACAGGTGTCGTTCAGCCATTTACCTTTCCTTTTGTTTTAGTTTGTTTGTGAAATCAGCCTTTGCTACGCTGCACATGTGTGACAGGGAGAGGATGTTAAATGAATTTTTGCACAGTGGCCCCTGTGGTGTTGTTCAGAGTCACCAAAAATTTTGCTGAGGCTCCAGAGCTCCTCTGACTCCCCTGTAGAAGCTCTCTGGCTCTCCCAAGACTTGTGCAAAAGGACACACATCTAGACAATTTAATGCGATTGAATGCATTAGCGGTGTTATACCACTGCAGGTCCAACGAACCGTGCCTGTGCTGGTGTTGTGAACATGGGACTTTGTTTCTGTCTAGAACAACCATGTTTTATTGGCTTGTTGCTTGCTGCATTCTCAACTACAGCTATGCTGTGAAATCTTTAAAAAGAAAAGATGAATCAAGGAGGATTTAAAAAAACACAACTTGCTGTGTGTCCTTTTGATGTCTAACACTGTACTTTAAAATGTAAGCTGTTCGAAAAGCACCATTTGATAGAGTTTATTCTATAGTAGACCTTACAAACAAAAATATTGTATAAACCAACTTGTGTAAAATCTGTTGGTTTGAAGCATATCCTACACAGATGACAAGTGTCTGTGATTCAGTCTTGTGTGTAATTGTTTTAGATTTGTTTACGTTTACATCAGTCACGATCGGAGTACCCTGACACGTCCGTTTTCTTTGTTTCCTTCAAAACTATTGCTTCCTCTGTGGAGACACGCTACATTAACCCTTAAGAAATCGGCTGATCTTTGGCTGGTTTATGCCTTCGTCTCTCTCCCATCCCCTGCATTTTATGGGAGGTTACTGGAGTACGAGGCAGGAAAGAGGCACCCCTGCCCAGCGAGAGGCAGGGCAGGGGGAGCACACTTGGTGAGACCGTGATGCTTTTATGCTCAGGCCCCCCTTACCTTCCTGTTCTGGCTTCTGCACTTCAGTGCTCAATTTAAGCTACCCTCATGCTGGACTTCTCTTAGTGTCTTTTTATTTATAGTGAGTTGCCTCACCTCTCCAGGCAAGCTGGGAACTCTGACACGAGGATGTGTTTCTGCAAATGGTGTGTTTTGGCAGCTTGGTTACGGAGCTGCCTTCAAGCTTTGTCCCAGGACTCCTACTGCTCTGCTGGGAGCATTGCTCAGCTCCCTACGGCACTCTCGGCCGTATGTTCCCTTGGCTTTTTCGGGAAGTGATGTGAGGTTTCAAAAGTGTCACCACATGGTGCAAAGAAGTTGTGGTGCCTTAGGATTTTGAGGGGATTGTCACCTAAAATTGCTTTTAATATACACTCTTTTGAGCCTGGAAACCTGAAATCAATTCTTCCCCCAATGTATATCTCAAATATAAAACTTAGACAACAAAGATTTGATATTGAGATAATGAGCTGCTACAGCTGGTACAGGAAAGCTTTGCAGGTCAAAGCAGAATAGTTAATCGGTTCTTCAGTTCATACTGTTGGGAGGCAAAACCATAATTTCAGCTGCTCAGGTAGTACAATGCTGAGAGTCATAAAATCACTGGAAGAGAGAGCAACGACGTGCATACAGAACATGCTCCGCTTGTGGCTCCCTGAGGGTTTTGCCAGCCCAACTGGCTGATGGTGGCACTTAGGAAGGTAGGAAGGGATGACAGAGTAGAAGAACTGGTTAGAATCTGCCTGCTTAATAATTAAAAACCACAGCGACAATAAAAACAAAAACTCAATATAGGAGAAGGGATTTTGCATTTGAAACTACGTCTGTGGGAGAACCAGAGCTGGGAGATCTCATCAAAGTCACTGGCTGATCAGTTCATTTGATGGCTGGAGCAGAGTTTTCTTTCTTATTTCGTGGCCATAACAATTAGACCAAAAAAAAAAAACCCAAACCCAAAAGACAAGATTTTTGAGAGCTTTTTAAACTGACTGGTAGAGATTTACAAGCAGAAGGATCTAATCCCCCCACTCCCAATCCGAACATTAAGAGCAGCATAACTTGTTGAAATACGGGCACAGCCATGTTTATATAACCAACCGGTCCTGCTCTTTTCACGTCAGGTTGCTGAAAGGCAGAGGAATTTCCTGTCTTGTGCCTTTCCTTGTGGTCTAGACACTAAAACACAATAGGAACACACTTAAGATATTTCTCTGTTGTTGTTTTGGAAAATGTTTTTGGTTGGAGAGAAATACCCTGATGTACATCATGTGAACCAGAAGAAAAAAAAAAATTAGCCACGTGCTGGGAAATTCCCGTGTGTACTGTTTGTTCTGAGTCTTCAAGTTTGACTAAGCTACTGGGGAAGCTAAAGCCATGGAAATATCTGAGAGGGAATTTGTCTCCCAGGGGCTTGTAATGGTTTTAAAAACATTCGGTGCCTTGTACTGATCTTCAGCTTTGTGCCCTGTGAGCTCTTCCTCACCCAGAACTGCGGTGCCTTCTGGTCCAGACTGTGTTCCCTATTTCAGTGTTTCTAGAAGAGCCCTTGTGGCTATCGTTTGCAGTATTTTCATGGGAGGACCTTGCCTTGGTCAGATGTGGGACTTCTGGGAATACTGTTTCCTGCTCTGGTCCCTTTTCCAAATCTTACAGAGCTATGGAAGTGGTGGGGCTTTATCCCTTTATGAAACTTGGCTTAATAAATATGAAGTCAGGCAATAAATCAGGGTGCTCTCTTACTGCCAAATCTGCTGTCACATTTGTAGTAGGGATAAACAAAGGACAGTGCAGTGTTACTTCATGTTTTATTCGGTGCTGTCAGAGCAGAGGGGCTTTTAAAATTAAACAGCAGGTCCAGTATTTGAAAATGGGTCTCCCAATTCGACTTTAAATTTAAGCTCAGTGAGCAGATTTTTCACTTTGGAACTGCCTCCTCCTGCCCTTCCCCATTCAAGTAATCATAAAAAGATCTTTTAGGCTGTGTGTCTTCATAACAGAAAAACTTGTGGCACTGGAGTCTATGGAGCAGCCTGTTTGCAAGCTGTGCGTTCCCATGTGCTGCCCCAGCCCCTGCAGCTGCTTTTCCCAAGGAGCCCGGCTCTGTTAGGGAATCCCCTGCCATCAGGGTAGGTGCTCTGCCCCAGCTCCAGGACCCCAGTGGTGGAGCTGGCTAGGAACAGTAGGATGGTCTCAATGCTTGGGCTTGACGTCCTGCTGTAACTGGTATCCTCTGATGCTGTACGCCCATCCCCTTCTCCGAAATGAGGAGCCATCCGTGAATTGATTCATCGGTAGGCATCATGTGAAAACTTAAAAGACAAATTAAAGATGTTAGCTAAACCCTATAGCTGGATCTGGCTGGCAGGCTGCCAGGTGGACCATCCTGACAGGTCGTGGCTTTCTGCAGCGTAGACCCGCACTGTGTCACTTGGCCAGCCCAGCACTGACTGCAGTACAGGTCAGCTGTCTCCTCTCAGCTCCAAGGGCCGTGAAACACTGTCCACAGTCACACAGCTTCCTCATCGTGGCTGGTGAAGCATTAGCGTGGAGCTACTCCACTGACAAGTTGGGTCCCTGAGAGCATCTCCTATTTCCTTTCCTTGTGCAGAGACCTCATGGAGCCTTATTAAATGGCTCCTAGTCAAAGCAGAGACCACCTCTCTTCTTTGTCTCCAGTTTCACCTGTAGGACTGTGACGACTTCAGGCAGCAAAGCAGCTAGAGGAAGGACAGTGCAAGCTTTGAGTATGTGCATTAGGGCCACCTTCTTGCTAGTTCATCAGATGCTTTGTACGCCATTAGTTGTTAAAGAATCACTGATAAAGTTTACCATGAACCTTGCTGTGCATTCAAGGAGGCCTGCGCATATTGAGAGTTAGAGTCTGAGCTGTATTTTGATGACCGTGGCAGATGCATTGTCAGTTGAAGATAGGGCAGCCTGGGCAAGTAGGTTCTCTCACCTGTGGAGAAGAAACACCTCTTGCAGTTTCTGTGTGCAGCCTGATAAGTACTACACCCCTTGCAGCACAAGGGAAGGGCTGCTGACAAAGCAGTCGTCAGCTTTTAGCAAGCGGATGAAGTTTGTATGGGTTGTGTGAAATTCTCTCGCTGTAATGTCATATATTGTATGTTTTTCCTCACAACAGAACTGGTGTGAAGTGGTTCAGTAATGAAGTTGTTTAGTGCTGTTATTTCATGTACTTTTCCACTGGGGGAATAATGAACAATCTTAATAAAACTTGACCAGTTTGTATCTCCAAGGATGATACAAAAGATGGAAATGTCCTGGTCACTAACAGGGAAGAATTTTGTAAAATATGTTTCATCACCATACTCTTCTTCCCTTTTGCTTCCTCCTTTCAAACCAGTCCTATGCTCTTCTGACAGCTGTATAGATAATTTCAGGCCTCAAATTCCGTCCTGCTGCTCTTCTACAGTTTTGCGCGAAAAAGAGCCATTCTGACTCGGCTATGTATTTCTTTCATCTCGGTGCATGACTCTTCGGTGCTTTTGTTGTGTTTTTCTAATAAAAGTTGTTTGTGTCCTAAGAACCAGACAACCAAAGAGCTGTTCCCTTGAGTTTGTCATTTTATGTTCCTGTGGTATTGCCATGTGTCTCTGCTGTTGATTATCAGGAAAGTGTGTGATTGGGTGGAGTCTGGAGTAAAGCTGTTGTGGATGTAAAAACTGAGGGAGATCTCTTGTGGTTGCAGCAGTTTCTCTTTCATTGTCATTTTGGTTTGCTCTCTGGGACTTTCTGTTTGCTTGGGCAGGGTTTTTTTGCACTTATCTTCCTATGGAGATAAACGAACCGTTTTCATTTTGTGGCCAGGTAAGAAGAACAAGTTGCGAGTCTACTATTTGTCCTGGTTAAGAAATAAAATCCTTCACAATGACCCTGAAGTAGAAAAGAAACAGGGCTGGACAACGGTGGGCGACTTGGAAGGCTGTGTGCACTATAAAGTTGGTGAGTAGTGAAGGCGGTAGTCAAATCATTGGGCTAAAAGCCGCTGAGAGAGGGAACTGCAGTGCATGTAGCTGCTGGGCTTAAGATTTGGTTTTATTTCTCGATGTCTTCCCTGTCCCTCAGGGAGAACTTTTCTGGCAAAGTGCCAGAGTAGGTGGCAAGTTACTGGGTTAAACTGAATGTGGGAGAGAGTATTCAGC